CCCTGGCATGACAAGGAATAATGGACACAAATTATTAGAGAGTAGATTTAGATTAGACATCCACAAGAACTACTTCACAGTTAGGGCGGCTAGGAGCTGGAACCAACTTCCTAGGGAAGTGGTGCTGGCTCCTACTGTGGGGATCTTTAAGAAGAGGCTTGATGACTACCTGGCTGGACTCATTTGAGTCCAGTCTTTTCTCCCGCCCAGGCAGGGGGTCGGACTTGAAGATCTACAAGGTCCCTTCCGACCCTACTTCTATGATTCTATGAAGTGGCAGACAGCAGGGCAGCATTACTTTCACTTTCCCCACCAGACACTTAGGATACAGACACTGCTATTACCCAGTTTCCAGCAGTTGATTTTTGGAAAAAGGTGCATGCACATGTGAGAAAAATATGATATGTTGTTGAAAAATAACTATGTAGGATGTTGTCCCATATTAGATCCTATTATTTTTCTTTAAAGAACTGTTTCTTGAGAAAAATGGAAATGTACCTTTCCCTGGTTTAACCTATAAAAGCTTTAGAAAAGTAGCATAAACCATGTTCAAAAAACATGCAACAGTAAAATGTCATACTTGTATGTGAAAATGAGGCAGTTAAATCACTGCAGGCTGTGCTGAAGTTGTGGCCCCTACCATCAGTGGTGCTTTAATGTGCCTTTTTCTAGCATCTCACAATGGAGGTACTAAATTTAATGCACACTAGCAAAAACGCATTGGTGAACTAAAGACAAAATGTACCAGCTATTTAAATAGTACCCAGCTCAAATTTTCTCTCCAGAAAAACTTCAAATGTAGCATTAAAACATATTGTTAAATAGTTCCACTCTCTTATACACAACTTTAAGTACCACACAAACTTACCTTCCAGACCAAGTCCAGGTATCTAAGTTCAGACAGTGCAAATCATTCATTCTACTTTGCTAAAACAACAAAATCCCAGTTGTGTTATATTAGACAATTAATAAATCAAGTATTTCAGAAAGATATTTCCTAAAACATATTTTTTAAGTAATATTTTTTTAAAAGAACATTGTAGCCAGGTAGTTAAGGGTTGTGAAAATTCTGAATAAGCAGAATTTTATTCTTAAGTAAACAGACATTTTTTAAATATAACATTGATGCTTTTTGCTATAAAGATTTAATATTCATATTTAAAGTCAAACAATCTGTGTAACAGTTCAATATATCTGTTACAGAAGTAAAAGCAAAACATGGATCCCTGATAAATAACAACAAGCATGTATATTTCTGTGTATATGTTTTGAGAGGCTAACAAAGAACAGTTAATTTTTAGGAATAACAGTATATGCATAGTGTGGGGAAAGTAGAAGAGGGGAGGATAAAACTTCAGTTGCTTTAGATTGTAAAAAAAAATTGTAATGACTTGTGACCTCCCTAATTTCTTTCTGTGAATTGCCTGGACATCACAACCAGTCAGCTGCGAAACAGGAAAATTTATCCTACCTTACCTGAAAATTTCCTTTTTTTTCTAGCAGGAAAATCCACAGATCCATTACAATGGTTCTTACTCCGACTTGCTGCTTTTTAGAGCCAGAAATCAGGCTTGCCAATCAAAGTAATGAGTGCGATTACTCCCAGCCAGCAAGTCAAGACAAGATACTTTAAGGTTGGCTTCATAGAGCTAATTCTTTTAGATTTTAATTTGCAGATTACTAAAATAATCAAGAAATTTCTAAACTCTTCCCACTGTAAAGCAATTTCAAACTCCACCTCAGCTTCTACAGGGCATATAACTATATTATACCCATAAAGAAAATGGAGAAGAACACAATTTAAGCTTTCTTTAGGACTATAGTCCTTATGCCACCTGTGCTGGATAGGTGGGCTCCCTCCCATTCAGAAAATAAATATTCAGGTAAGATAAATATTCCTAGTCTCTTCAGGAAAAATCCTCTCAGATTCATTATAATGCAAATGTTCAGTGGTAGTGTCAGGAGGGAAAAGAAATGGTGAATGATAGATCTCCATCTCCCTTATCTTCTCTCTTTAAATACTTCAATTACCCTCAGTTATATAGGGATGGAGGTGTGTACATTTAATTTGTAAAGCATGAAACTAAGATCAAGTAGCCATCCTAAATCTCTCTCTCTGTGGGCATGCCTACATGTTGCCATATGGTGACGTTGCTACAGCACTGTGTTTTAGTACTTCCTTTTAGAAGTAGTAAAACACGATGCAATATGGGTTGTTACTGTGCCATGCTCGCCGTACACAGGTACATTTCCCAGCTACACTGCCATTGCGGTGCACTATTGCTGGGCAGCGCACTGCTATGGCAATGTAGCTGGTGATCACATGTAGATACAGGTGATGCTATGTCACCTTAGCGTGCTATAAGGCAATGTAGTGCATCTTTATATTGCCGTAGGGTAATGTGTAGATGCACCCTGTATGTTTGTTATGATCCTTCAGACCAGGAAACTTCCATGACTCTACGTGAATGTACATTTTAAAAGGAAAAGGCCTTCTAGCTTTGAAAAATTAAAAAATGTACCAATTAATCTTCTACTAACTGAAAACGCAGCAGGAATTTTATTTTTTTTTAAGTGCTTTGTATGGGGACAAAATGGATGGAAAATAAAATTTCTTGTAAGCAAGTTTATTTTGGGAATAACTGTTGTGTTGGGAACACACTGCCTGTCATGAGGGGTGCAATACTGCCATTCCTCAATAGCATCTTAACTTCTGTAAACAGCCTTTGCCAAAGCGAATGCCAGAATGACAGCCTTTGAAGGCAGAAAATCTTAAACACTTCTGACAAGGGCCCAAAAGTGGGCATGTCTACATGTGCATTAATGAGCTTTTACTTGTATTCATTAAATGTAGCACCACTGATATGAGGTACTAAATCAACGCAAATTAGGCTACACTAATACATTAATGCGCACATGTAGATGTGCCCAGTGTTTAGGACATGTAATAGAAAGTGTAGTTCCTGGTTGTAATCTTCAAATACAGTTTAAAGAAGCATAGCAACTCAAAGCATTCCTATGTCTGGATAACAAAGTTGCTCCAGAATATGCCTGCTAACTCCAGTGACTTGGAAATGGCTATCACTTGGACTCTCATACTTTATTGTAAAAGTTGTAAAATATATTTTGCCCTCGCATTGACTGGATCCAACTAGGCTGATTTAAATCGTACACACATACAGACATAAGATACTCTGCTTGTGGAATATTTTATCAGGTTAAAAAAAAAAAAAGGTGGTATAAGCACACTTGAATATCTTCCTGCAACTGATCTCTCTCAATTAATGCAGTTGGAGTTATTTTTTCTTGATCTTGACACAAAATTTGGCAAGAGCAGATGCTTCTCTGAAAACAGACAGAGCTGTATAGCAGATGCCATCAGAAGGAATTAAAGAACCAGGACCTACTGAGGAAATCTGGGACCTCCCATTCACTTACACTGTCTTGGAGAACAGTAGTGTAACTGAGGGGGGCAACCAGCACAGCAGCCACGAAAGCCACTTTTGTTGAGGGGGGTGTTGCAGAAATAGCCACAACACTATGGCAACCAGCACTGCCCCAAGAACTGCACAGCAGCCCAGGGTGCAGAACTGCCTGGTTGTGCCTCTGGTTGTGAACAGAAAAACTATAATTCTTTTGGCCATTACTGTAGCTACAGCTTTTTAATTTATCCACAGAGACTATAAATTGGGGAACCGTTTGCTGTGGAGGGGAGGAGGAAGGGAGCTACAGGTGCAATGACAGGGAGGTAGTCAAGGCTTGACTAGTCTCAAATGAGAGATCTTAAGCTATAGATGCCTTTATCCCAGATTGATCCTTTACTTTCTCAATCAGCTGGGTTGATATTTATCTCCTCCCTGTCAGTGTTTGTGAATACAGATTTCTTTTTTTCCTTCATTTTTCTGCTGGAACAGAGAGATTTATTATCTCATAGTCACGCTGATTATCTAGTTCCTTCTTCCATTCTGATAAAAGTTATTATTCAGGTGTTGAAGCCCACTGATATCACGTTCCATTATTTAATTTTGGACAAAATCGTTCCTTCCGTGAACTTCATTGCTGTTGATACTGGCATAGATTTTCTCAACCAACCTTCCCCAATTCCAAAATATGGTAACTTTTCTGTACCTTAACAAGACAATGGTACCAAGGGATGAATACTCTGAGCTCAGAAGAAATTAACATGTTTCTGAAGATGTGTAATCTCACAACAGAATGTTATGGCCAGACATCTGTTCTTATCCAAGAAGTGAACTCTGAGAAATTTAACTAGAGCACAAATGACACTGCTCTTTGTGACCACTGTTTTTTGAATTTTCTCCTCTGATAGGTATAATCTGCTGTGGAGGTAGATACCTCTGAAGGTCCCCAGAAGTAATAATGACCACATGGCATCAACCTGGTTCTTGACAGAGTTGACATACCACGTTTTTCCAGACTAAAATCTCACTGCAGTGCTTTTTCCAGAAGCATGCTGTCATTTTAGCATAAGTATACATAAACTCTGTTGTGTCCAAGGAAAACGTAATGTTAACTAAAATTTTGGAAAACATTTTCAGGCAAACAGGCGCTATCTGTTGTATGTGAAGTTGAGCTATCCCTTCTGGGAAGTTCATATAATACATGGGTAGAGGTTATTTAGATCAAATACTCGTATAATAAACACGGAAATAGCTGTTATGCTGGAATTCAGAATCCCCATCCTAAACTATGACTTCTAAAGGAGTCCGTTCAAGAGCTCCTGTTTAATGGTTCCTCTGGCTTAGATACTAGAAAGAGTATGGGGAAGACTTCTTGTTCCTTGGTAAATCAACAACCCCAGTTGGAAGCAAAACTATATTTCTATACTGTATTCATATTCTAGTCTTTCTTTTGCACGGAAGAAGTGGGGTATTTTAATACCCCAGTTATAGGTTACACTTGATTCCAAATGCATGCAGACTATATATCTGTCCTAAGATTCAGTCTTCTAATACAGCACTGATAAAGCTCTTCAACATTTATTGCCATTTACTCCCCCATTTAAGGAACCATATCACACAAACCCAGTCTGTAATCATAAGTGCTTGGCAAAATGCAGAGTATTTTCCTGCAACATCTCCTATGTTTCTTATACCACTTGGCGTATTCAGTCAGCTAGTGAGGTATCCTTACTATAATTCTTAGCTGGATCAGTGTGCCAAGATCAGTAATAAGGTCTGCATGTCCTTTTGAGCTAGAAGGCCTCCCCAGAGTTTATATTTATTTTTAAAGGGTTCCATGGCAGCTCCATTTATAGTGACCAAAGTGCCTGCTACTTGGGACACTTAAGAGTGACCAGTACCTGATTTTCCATTATGGTCCCAGGCAGACCTGGTGCTATGACACAGTTATAGCTCACTGCTCTAACTGTGAATTTCAGGCTGAAAATTCTCAAAGAGGCTGCATCTCCCACAACAGCTACTATTAAGGAAATCTTTCTAAATGAAGGCTCCCACTCCAGAATGACTTCTGATCTTGACTGATAAGAGTAGGCAAAAGGGAATCTGACCATGCATGCACTGATCCTGCATACGATGAAGTCAGCAGATGCATAAAGGGCTGTTGAGATGACTTTGCTTTTGTTATTACAATATTCTTTAATTAAAGACTAAACATTTCATTGACCAGACATGAGAATTTCATTAATTTTTCAAAGCATAAATCATAGATTTACCTGTGAGTGAACTAATGCCCCTTCTCTCTCACTTCCTCCAATTTCATTCTTAAGATGCTTCCTGGTAGAATAGAGTCCACATAATACTCCCAAGAGCAGTTTCAAATTACTCCTCCAAATAATACTGATTCTGAGGTTCTTCCTCTACCAGCTCTAGCCCCAAGTTGGGAAAAAGCTGCCCTTGTTCTTAGGAAAACGATTATAAGGATCATCTTCACACTTCTTGGACCTTTATTGTTCCTTGTAGAGCCTTTATCCTGCAAAGATTATTTTCTATCATGGCAAAATAGAAGAAAAGGAGAAAAAGAGAGTCCCTGTACAACTTGCTTTGCATTTTACTGGAGAAAATGAGGCTTAGAAGTTTCCTCCACGGAGGAATGACTACTGTGTCAAAAGCTGTAGTGTCCTTCACTCATGCCTTTACCTTTCCTTTTCCATTTCTTCGTTGTACAGTAACATCACAAGGCCCAGTTACTGAGTGTATTCTCCCCTCCCCATTATTCATAAGGCAGAGTGAATATTGATAATAGGATTTCATGGATGAAGCAAAAATAGATCTGCTGCTGCATTACAGAAATAACTGCAGAGGTGGTTACACAGAAATAAGAGAAACAATTATATGCTCTTTTGAAATCGTCCCCAAGTGGGCTCCTTGAACTTTTCTTTTGCCTTAAGGAACCAGAAGCTGCCTGTGGACAGCCCAGGGATGAGGGGTTGGGAGCACCCTTTTTTGTATTTCTGATTCCCACAATCTAACAAGCAGAGCTAAATAAGCAGCCATGTGGCAATGAACCCTATAAGCAAATAAGGTGGAGTCCCATATGAACTGACTCACACTGTTAAATGGAGCTGCAAAACAGTAATAAATAGTGGGGCCAAGAGGCCCCTTACTGCTTATTTGTTTCTTCATGGCTGGGTTGCTTTGCCTCTTACCCCCTCAAAGGGTTTTATGAAGGAGTGAAAAGAAGGTGAGGCACAACTGATACTCAGTGAACAAGACTGCTTTAGCCCAAAAGGAATGGCACAGAAAAGCCATAGGACAGGTATGGTTCAATTAGCCCATAAACTGTAGTACAGGCAACCTCCAGCACGTGAGATTTGCTTGTCCGGGCATTGTTGTAAGCCCTTCCAGTTGGTAGCTTCTCTATCCTTCTGGTTGTCTTCAAAGTTTCTGACAGATGATCATTCAGAAATGCTGTGCTGGAAATTGATGTTGCTAGCTGCCTTTGTGTCAGAAGGGAGTTTCCAGCAATTTTGCTACAAAATGGATATCCTCAGACTATGCAACAGCCGCCAGATAATATTTAGAATCCAAAAATAAATAAATAAAAAAATAAAAACAATCTCTTTTTTCTGGATGTTTTGGTTTTTTTGTTCTTGGAAGGAAATCTGGTGAAACCTTCCTGCAACAACTCAAAGCAATTCAAATGGATTAGTCAGCTCTCATTCTAACCTAATTGGTAAGTCTGACTTCTGCCTCCTAGGAAATAAAGTGAGAGTAAGACATTTTGTAATGGATCTGCAGACTATCTGGAACAACACTGTACTATAGTATATAAATTCTCTCTCAAATGAGAAGAATTGGGACAGCTGAAGTGGGTGCCATTTTAAGTTCAGTTTGCACGTTTTTAAAGCATGATAAAAATATCTGTTCCATTACACGCAGTTATCTTAGTTTGCAGTCCTTTTGGGGACCACTGCTTCCTTCTCTTTCAGACACACAAAAACTATACAAGCAGTCAGTGCCATACTGCTAAAAGCTACTTCACTGATAATCATACCAAAAGTGGGATGCAACTGTAATTGGAAGGGATTTACAACGCCCTACTCGCCAGCTGAACTTAATTCACCACAAAAGGCTCCAAGTTGCTTGGCAACAGAGAGGGGTAAAGTCTTAAGAAAAAAACAGAGTATCTGTAACAGAAATCAAATTTAAAAGATAGTAAACAGGACACATTAATTTAATTTGATCTATTTATGTTATTTAAAAACTGTTATGTTTAATTTGTCTTGTCTGATCCTACTTTCTTATATTCCTAGTTCATTCTGAGTTTTATCAAAGCTAGGAAATACGCAACTCAACACTGCTATGCACGTAAGAGGTCCAGACATCATAAAAGGAAAAAAAATACTCTGGTAGAAAATTCATAGGTCATAGGAAGTGATTAAGGGTATTTAATACCTTTCATCAGACGGTATTTCATTTGTTTATAAACCATTAGTAAAACAGGAAGCACTCTTGATAATTCATTGGGGAACATCCTGCTCTCACCTTTTCGTGGCTCATTAATGTTGTAACACTATTACTTAAAAATTCTGTGTTCAACTACACTCATCTTCCTAAGGTAAGGTATATTGATTCTCATGACTCCTGGCCTAATAATACCCTTGAAACTGAAAGGACCTATTAGCATAGACAGCAACTGAGGCAGACTAGGACGATTAACCACTATACCCACATGCTCAGCAATTTTCTGATTGCTAAAAGAGCCTCTGCCTTACACTGTATTTGTAAACTCACAGGATGTTTTACTATCAAGTTAGAGGAGATGGGTCAAAGAAATACAGGTTACTCTTGGAATATAGTTAGAAATGTTTTGATGGTTCTATGGGGAGTTTATTCTGTAATCTCAGATCAGCTATGAAAAAGTACAGTATGATCCTTATTTTCAAGTTAAAATATTCCATGGCCAGAGCCGTTCCTAGCTGGGGCGAATAGGGGCGACCGTCATGGGCCTTGCACTTTGGGGGGCCCCACGGTCAATGCAGTATAGGTCACGCCATGCCTGCCACTGCCAAGCACCACTGGCTCCACTGCCGAGTGCTGCCGGCACCGGTCGCTCACTGCCAGCCCCCGCTGCCCCCCACCAAATTCTGCCGGCTCCGGCCACTCACCGCCACCCCCCACCCCGCTCCCCCCACATGGCCACCTTCCCCTGTACAAGCTGATATGCCTCAGGCCCCACACACCCCTCGGGATGGCTCTGTCCATGTCGCTTGAAAAGCAGAGTTGTCAACCATGATCTTCATTCATATTGGCATACTGGGTCAGACCAAAGGTTCACCTAGCTCAGTAACTCAATCTTTGACAGTGACAAGTTATAGAGGCTTTAGAGGAAGAATATAAGAAATGGTAGGTATGGAGTGATCCACCATCACCTCCATACCTCCTGCCATGCTTTCCAAGTTACCAGCAACCATAGCTCTGAGAATGTCCTAGGCCTGAGATCATATCCTTACTATATTTAATAGCTTCTTATGGACTTATCTTTGATAAACTGATCTAATCCTTTTTTGAATTCAGTTATATTGCTGGTCTCACTACCAAGTTTGGGCAATTTTTTGTTAGATATTTAGATGCGTTGGGCTCAGATAATTAAGTATGTTAAAGATAAAGACTGAGACCCAGAACCAATCTTGATGGTCTATGTAGAGCAGGGGTGGGCAAAATGCAGCCTAAGGGCCAGATACAGCCCACCAGACAATTCTACCTGGCTCGTGGGGCCCTAAAAAATTTAGAAAATTAATATTTATCTGGCTGCCTGTCACGTGGCCCTTGATGGCTTGCCAAAACTGAGTAAGTGGCCCTTCGCTCAAAATAACTGCCCACCCCTGACACAGAGAGAGAGGACAATCTTGATGTGCTTGCCTATGTTGCTAATGTCACATGCTGCACCATTCTATATTACTTGCAGTTACCTAAGGCCAGCAGCTTTATCTCCAAATCACAGGACCCTCTCTCACTCATATTTTCAGTGTGGCCAATTAGTGATTCCTTAGCTGACTTTCAGTGTTTCCTAACTGAGAAAAGCTTAGTTTGACAACTTTAATGTTCTTTAAAACAAAATAATTTGTATATAATATTATGTTTTTTAAGTATTTTCTCCAAACTGTAAACTCTGCAATAGTGTCTGACTGCATGTGAGAGTCAGAGAGAGATGTGGATAGTGCTATAAATTCCCTCATTGTTTAGGAGAGATAGCATTAAAGAAAATTAAAACATTTGTTAAAATGTATCACTTGCCAACAAATCCTTAATTAAAATATAAAAAATAAACAGTCTGACCATATAAAAGCCTTTAAAGTTGTTTTAATATTGAATATTAACAACCCACCATTTGCTTGAAGGTGACATATCAAAAATCGTATTTTAAATATTTTTTTCATCATACTGCCAGTGGTTTATTATGTAGAAATACCAGTGGTAATATAACATTTGCCTGGCTATATAGGTTTTTAAACAGTTTATGCATCCTTAAACATCCTATAAAACAACATTTGTATTGTCATATTTCTTAATAGCCCATGGGTCCTATATTCAACTGATAATGTGACTAACCACTGATATCTCTAAAATGTTGATTGATTTGAGTTTCTCTTTGGTGTGACATTTACCCACCAGCTGAAAATAAAAACTTATGCAATAATAATATGTTATATGAATGTTTTATCTTGGGCTTGATGAAGCAACTTTAGTTTTGTTAAACTACCCTAACATATGTTAAAAACATTGCTCTAAAAATGTTCGATTACATTCTTCTCTGCACTTGCTAACCAATGTGCAAATAATTATGTAAAAATGGAAATCTCTTGACATTTAGCTACAACTGTATGCCAAACATAATGCCAAACATTGTGCCAAAAAGGGCACCTCGGCTGGCCAATGTGGAGGCAGGTAACAAACAAACATCCACCCTCTTTTTATTTTGGAGGGGGATTTGTGCCTCTTTCATCTAGACTGAATACGGAGAACAGATGTCTACTACCCTTTGTGGGGCACACGGAGGAAAAAAAGGCATCTAGGGACACCTTTCACAAATATACTGATTAGGACCACAGACATTATGGGCTTTACTGGTACTATGTAGATAAACTGCTATCAATAAGTAACTGCCAAACACATTACATTACTACAAATTAATTATTCATTAAATAGGTACTAACCAGTACTCGTCCTCCAAAGACATAACCCTTATTTCCCAGCACAGCACATGTATGAGCTGCTCGAGGCTGAGGTGGCTCTCCACCCTGAAAGAAACGATGCAAAGACACTTGAAGATATTACCCTGTACAGTACCAGTTAAGGCTGCAATCAATCAGGTATAAATTGCAAAAAAGAGGACCGAAATATATACTTCATTTTCCAAAACATTTGCAAAATTGAAAATGTAAAAAGAAACAATTTGAGAAGAACATCCAAGACTCCATTTAGATTAAATGCTGCAAAAAAAAAGTTAACACTAAATTCCCGTGCATTTTGGTGTTTACTTTGTTCTCTTTTGGCTTGATTTATCAATACAATACATTATTCCAGCTTACTGCCAATGAAATTCCAGTGACTTGCTTGAATTTTCCCTCATTTAAGTCTGGTAGAGCACTGATGAGTAAGTCCTGTGGGGGCCTGATTTTCTATGGTGCAAAGCATCACCTGACAGTTCTGAACTAGAAATTATATCCTTAACAGTTTTATGTAGTATCCATTGATGGTACCATTGAGAGTTTGTCCCATGTAAATAAGAAATAGAAATTGCAAGACTGGGCCTTACTTTTCAGACATACATTTCCTCCAACATCTAGTTTTATAAAAATGTTAGAACACCACACAAAAGCAACTTAAGCACTCACAGAATTATATACGGCTCTATGCTATGCTATGATCCTAATGCTGATTTATATAAAAAAAAATTACATTCCATTGTACATTCCTTTGTACCGAGAGATTGTTCAAGGTAAAAGATGTTTTTATACACAGGATGTCAAGTACCGTTCTAATAGCCTGTGAGTAGCATCAGTTTGCTAGAGGCTTGCTAGAGAATCTTTTGTAACACTAAACCTTTAACGAAATAAAAATATAAAATAGAGCAACTGCAAATATACAGTACTCATTCTTCAGGTGTCTATATTCCCCCTATGCTAAACATAATGTTCCCTACATATACACCCCTGTGCAAATAGACCCATATATATTCAACCCCTCTTTGAATCTCTGCTATGCCCTTGGCCTCTGTAGCACCTGTGGCAATAAGTCCCAGTCCAATTACTTTTTCATACGGGTATTCCTTTTATCAGTTTAGCATCTGCCACCTTTTACTGGAAGGTTCCCTTGTTCTTATGTTGTAAGACAAGGAAAACATAAAAGTACTTCAATATTATTAGCCCAAGGAATACTAACATTTTCCAAACTCTAAAGTCTGGTCATTGTTCAATATGTGGCAGAGTTACAAAACTATGTATAGAATGATTGAGCATTTACAAAAATACTCACTCTAATTGTTGGCTGAAACCAAGTTTGTGTGGTTGTATCAAAGACATGAACATCATTGTGCCATCCCCAGTATATTTGCCCTTCCTGAAACAGGAGAGTTAAATACAGTTTTAAAATATAATTTTAAATTTAATCTCACACTTCCTGTGGTTTGTCAAAAAGTTTTGGGCATAAAAATGACAAGTTAAAAGAAAGTAAATGAATTATGAGGAAATTCTTCTTGGACTTCCAGAAGGCCTTCAACACAGTGTCCCACCCAGTTCTGGTGGGCAAGCTGAGGGACTGTGGCACTGATGAACGCACAGTGACATGGGTGGCAAACTGGCTCCAGGGGTGCACCCAGAGGGTGGTGGTGGATGGATCGATGTCGACCTGGGAGGGTGTGGGCAGCGGAGTCCCCCAGGGCTTAGTCCTTGGACCAGTGCTGTTCAACATCTGGACGAGGGTGTGGAGAGCACCCTGTTCAAGTTCCCTGATGACACCAAACTGTGGGGTAAAGTGAATACACTGGCAGGCAGGGACCGCATCCAGGCAGACCTGGATAGGTTACAGAAGTGGGCGGATCTGAACAGGATGCGGTTCA